CTCCATGCCAGCTTCATCATACTTGCAATATTGAAGTCTATCATTTCCCTCACCCCCAGGCCACCCTCCTCCTGAGGGAGACAAACTATCCTTCACTTAACAAGATGAAGCCCTTTATTTTCTGCAACTCATGCCAATAGAAAGTTCCTCTGAAGCCTCTCTATCATGTTAGAGGTTTTCTTTGGCAGCATAAAAGATAATATCCAAAAAAATAGTCGAAGCACTAAGGACTGACTTAAACAGCTGAAGACATTCTCAATAAGATAAACATAAGGCTTGCCATATACCTATCCTATTGATCACCTTTCCAACCAAGCTTTGACAATAACTATGTCAGAGATGGCGATGAAACAGAGGTAGCCCCCAAATAACGCGCCTACAAGGAACCCTCACTGAACCCCAACTTTCTCAATAATTGTGTTTGACTGCCATTTGGAACCCCAAAGAAGAAAACCTTGCTCTTTTAGATGAATCCATAGGAATAAATAGATTTGGGAAACCCAAAGCATGTAACATCATCACAATAAATTCCTATGAAACTCTATCATATGCACTACTCAGATCAATCTGCCTACACATTTTAGGACGAGCTGAATTCTTATAGTAAAGAGACATAATCTCATTTGCCATTCGAAGATTATTTGAAATGAGCCTATCCTCAAAAAAGCAGCCTGCCTAAGGTCAATGATATCCTCAAGGACAACTCTAAGACAATTTGAGATTTCTTTACTGATAATCTTATAAAGGATATTACACGAACTAATAGGTCTAAAATCCTTCACAATAGAGGGGTCATCCACCTTAGGAATCAAACAAATGAAAGTAGAATGAATCTGCTTTAGAAGCTTACCTTTACCAAAGAAGTCCTTGAGGGCCATATACAGGTCTTTATTAATGATCTCCCAAGTGAGTTTATAAAATTATACTGAGAAGCTATTCGGTCTTGGAGCACTCTCATTTTTCATGTCCCAAATAGTGGCTTTAAATTCCTCCATAGTGTCTGTTTCAACAAATTTGGCCATTTGATCCAAAGATAATGAACATGGAGGTAGAAACATATCCGCTTGAATGGTGTCAATATTATTATATTGAGCAAGCAAGTCCTCGAAAAAACTGATCATATGTCTATCAATATTATCTTCAAAAGCTAGCAAATCCCCATTCTGATCTTTTAGCGATATGATCATGTCATTTCTTCTTCGAATCGCAGTGAAAAGATGGAAGAAATTGGTATTGGAGTCACCATCCTTAAGCCAATTCTGTTTAGGTTTCTGTCTCCATAGTCTCTCCTCATGTCTCAAAAGAATTTGAAGCCTTTGGGTACTCTCATACTCTTCTAGGATCAATGCCTCATTCGAGGGATCTAAAGTTAAGTTATCATGTAAAGAAGATAATTGGAATCTGACCACCACAATGGATTAACTAACATGACCGAAGACCTCCTTATTCCATGTATGCAAATCAGCCCTCAATCTTTTTAGTTTAGTAACAAACCTGTACATGGTCATGCTCCCAACTCTAACTTGTCATGATGTAGATACTATATCCATAAAGCCATGGTGTTTTTCCCACATCGAGAAATATTTAATTAGTTTTGGATCGACGGGTCCCTCATCAGAAACTGTTACCATTATCGGACAATGATCAGAATTGGTTTTGGGAAGAAGCTCAACCTTGGATTCTAGAAACGCCAGAACCCAATCAATGGTTGCCATTGCACGATCTAATATATTTCTTATGCGCCTCCTGTTGATCTGACTATTAGACAAAGAAAACCATCCTCTGACAACTCCTAGGTTAGATAGAGCACAATCCATCATGTCACACCCCAATAATTTACAATATTGATCTTCCTGAGATGTGACAGTCAAAACATATACACATCTCTTGATAGGACAAATTTACAGTGGCGAATTCTTACAAAGTAACAAAAGAAAGTTTAAGCACAACTACAATATCTTCCAGAGTTGATCCTGACGAGCACTCAAAATGAAACCGCAGTTATCTTGAAAAAATGTTTACCATAATTTGATGAGTTTGGCTACTCAGTAAGTGATCATCATAATCCTAAAAATAATCATGGTTGAAAGATATCAATATTTTCAAAAAGGAGATCTATTAACAGAAATGCATTAACAGTTTCACTTTCAAAAATGCATAATTAAGTATAATCCGAATAATTGAAATGCATAAAACATTTTAACGGCAGTGCATAATTCAAAGGATTTCACAAATTACCCTACTGGCATCCCAAGTAGGTCACCTATATATCCCATCAGCGTCCTGATGGGTCCACTTAATCTATATCGGCGTCCCAGATAGATCCACTTAATCCTTGTAGTTCCACTTATACGTCACCGGCGTACCGGATGAGTCCACTTAATCCCTACCGGCGTACCGGATAGGTCCACTTATACCTCACTGGCGAACCGGATGAGTCCACTTGCATACTTAAAGTGTTTCTAAATCTCTTTAAATATTCGAAAGCAACAATATCATGTACTCAACATATCACTGAAATTATTAATATGAATTTCACTGAAACCATTAATAATAGTCACTTTCAATAACATCTCAAAAATAACCAGTCAAATATTTTGGGCTCAAATTTAGAAAGATAGCAGTTCGTGAAGACATTTTAGCATAATTGCCAATCTAATATGTATAGAAAAATTCTTATAGAAATTCAAGAATACGGATTTATCACAATTTATGGGATGTCAATTTGCAAATAAACATTTCACAGACAATGCTATAATCAAATGCATTTTCTAACAATAGACAAGAAAAATAAATAAATTTATTTTTCTAAGAATTTACAGCATTTAAGATTTCTAACATAGATAAAATATCACAATTTTATTAAAAAGATGATTTTTCAAAATAATGAGGTCGCTTGAGCATAAAATTTATCGTGCCTAAAATTCATGATAATAAGCAGAAGTAATTATTTCATTTTATTTTTAAAAAGAACACATTATTTTTCAAGATAATGAAGTCACTTACCTAAAATATTTGAGATTCCGATAAAAATTCGGCTAGAGAGAGAAAGAGCTCACTGCGTTTCGACTAGAGGGAGAAAGATCTCAAAAATTTTCTTGAGTGGGAGTCCTCGCCTCTCCTATTTAAATTCTTAAGATACCTCATTATATTGTCTTATTAAGTTACACCTCATACATGAGGTGTAACGCACGTAATCCAACTAGTTATTGTGAACTATCATCCCTCTATTTACCAAGGATGTGGTTAGTACAAAGGCTAGGCTTTATGTTAAAAAGTAAAACCTTATCCCAAAAATCAAATGAAAGATGTAATTTAGAGAAAAATATATTTTTGCTCTGGTATAAAATTTGAAGCTCTGAAAATAAATGTATGATTTAGAGAAGGTTGCAGTTTGTATAGATCCGAGGCTCTAAATAATCAAAGTAAAGCATACCTTCAAATAGTGTCGAGAAATTGATATTAAAAATCTTTCCGATAGCCTAGAGAATGGAAGGAGAACAGCTCCACAATCTGACAAGGGAGGCGAGACCTAAGTTTGGCAGGGACCCTTACTCTAGGCCATATCTCCCACTATCTTCATAGATGGAAGGGCCTTCAAAGTCCATTGAACTTTCGGTCCCGTTTGGGAGAACATGAAACAGATCCTGCCCCAATTCAGATCTTTTTGGTTTTGGGTGCAGGTTAAGAATCTAGTCAAGTTTGTTTGTCAAAATAAAAAGTGCGTTTGAGGAAGGTGAAGGCCTTGCCAGCTTTGCTGGCCAACATCTTGTCAACCACGCCGCTAGGCCGCTAGCGGAGGCGTAGTTGTTGTTGTTGGCCGAAGCTTATTTTTATCTATAATTATAAAATTTAAAGCTTCAATAGGAGTGTAGATATGGCAGATCTATAAAAACATGAAAATCTTGAAAACTTGACGATCCAAAAAATATGTTACAAAATGTACTATTTCCGAACTTGAAATCCATTCTTTTCTCATGCCCATGCATCGGGATGTCGAGATGCTCAATTTGAGAATATTTGAACATCAGAACAACCTTTTCTAATGAAATTCTTGTGGTGGGCTCTAATTTGATTGTTTAGAGCCTTGGCTCTACGTAAACTTTTTCCTTTAGATAATGAGTTCTAAAAGCACCATTTTAAACCTTTAAATGCTATTTTTCTTTTCTACAAGGTATGGTCGATCAAATAAATTTGAGAAGTTCTCAAAATGCAGTTTTACACTATTATCTTGGTAAAACTTGGGCCTCACTCAAACCTCTTTCCCTTAACTAACCAAGGATTTCTATGAGGCTTAGACTTTATGAAAACGAAGTAAAACTTTGCCCCAAATCCTTGTCTAGAAAGTACTTTGGGCCTTGGAATCTCCATGATGGTTCTAAACTCAATTGTCAATACCGACAATGAAATTTGAAGCTAAAAAGCAGTACATATTTTGCATATCTATGAACAATCAGTTTTAGGGAAAATAGATATTCTAGATACAATGCTATAATACACACTATTTTTTGGGGGGTTAATTATTTTCACAACTATAATAGTCAACTTTGAGATGATCGGTTTGAAGGATTTTCGAAACCTGTAACTTTCGATGAGTTTTAAAAAAAAGATTTACTTATTTTTATTGGACTACAACTCTATCTTAAATTTTTTCACAACTATAATAGTCAATGTCGAGATGATCAATTTAAATATTCTCCTTTACCACAATAATTTTCAGTGAGTTTTGAGACGAGGCGCTACTTATTTTTCTTAAGCAGCAGCCCTATCAAAATATTTTTTTATTAATCAAACCACCAAAGTAACTACCCAATTGCTGCAGTTGCGTTGGAGACGCTTAAACATCAATAACCACGATATTAACAAACAAAAACGACAATTGATGACGAAAAGTCCAAGTGGTTGGGTTCGCAAGAGAGAGTGAGGGGTAAGGAAAAACTTTCCCCTTTTTCCCTTCTCTTTCGCTCTCTTCACTTTCTTACTCCTCTATCTCCACTGTCTCATTCCTCTCTCTCTCTCCACTTTCTCACTCCTCTCTCACTTTCTCCCTCCTCTTTCTCTCTCCACTTTCTCACTCCGCTTCCCACTGCCCACCATTTTTGAAGACGACCCAAGACCAGAGCGAAGGAGGAATAATAAAAAAATGAAATAAAGAAATCCTGTGTATTTCTTCCCTTCCACTGTTGCTGCTCTTCCCACAGAATCTGAGTCAGCGGAGCCTCTCAGTTGGTTGTCATTCCCCTGTCATCTCTTTTTGAAGCAAAACTGTGTCTCTCTCTCTCTCTAGATCTGCCTCCTTTTTCATTATGGAGAAGTGGAAAAACGGGAGAGAGAGGGAGACAGGCGATGGATACCATTTGCGGTGAATGAGGGTTGGTGGCTTGGGAGGAGGGCGTCAATGGGGGCGAGGCCATTCTGTCTCATCGTGCCCCGTCGAGCTGATGAAATGCAGAGGTTTAGCTCTCTCTTGGATGGATTTCCGTGAAACCTGGATCTCGCTGATTGTGATGCTTAGATCATAGCCATGATGCAGCTGGCTCTGATAATGTGCTTGTTGTTGCTTTCTTGGCCATGCCTGCTTCATGGTGGGTCTTCCTTACAAGGTTGGTTACTCACCTTACCACTTATGCTTTCACAGTTGTTTTTGCTGATATGAGAGAGAGAGAGAGAGAGAGAGAGAGAGAGAGAGAGAGAGAGAGAGAGAGAGAGAGAGAGAGAGAGAGAGAGAGAGAGAGAGAGAGAGAGAGAGTGTAGTAGTAGTGTAGTACGTAGTACGTAGTAGTAGTAGTACGTCGTAACGTACGTAGGTACGTTACGTACGTACGTACGTA